GGTTCATCTGGACATGTAGCTTAAATAGTTACTACTATAACTATATTTGTCAATATCACAAACAAGCATAGTTTCATTATTTTATGGAAGAAATCATACAATTTGTCTTACATTTATGTTTTATAACTTGTTTTCTTAAAATCAAATTAAAATTTCTTTATTCACTCAAGACATGTATAAAAAATGCAATGTGAGATTTAAAGAACATAAATAATAATGATAAAGTAAAACAATTGGTGTATAATATAATAATGTATTTGTGTATTTAACTAAGAGAAAAAAGAAAACGACGAAAATGGCTCTTGCATGATATATCTTGTAATAACATATTTATTTAACCTTAATTGCGAAACAATTTATCGCAACTTATATATATCACTTTTGAGCCCGCTTCCTGGAACCAATAAGTATTGGTCTCATATAGAGAATCATTACGGTGACCAGTTTTACGGTGACCAGTTTAGGGCTCGAACCCATGTTTCCCGGGTTTAGAGGCAGAGACCTGAACCACTCGGGCACCGCTCTCCCTTTATGTAGCTTTTAAGGCATTTTAACATTCATAGTTATCATAAAGAGGAAATATATTTTTAAAGAATGTCCTTATTCTCTGATAACTGGAAATAGGAATTTTCTAAGTTGTAATGTACATTCCATGGTTCTATAACAGAAATAATTAGCTATTAGTGATTCAATTCCTTCGTGATTTAACTGTCGTGGTTTCTATTATGCTCATGTTATCAGTTATGATCCAAGTAAGAGAAACCATTCGTGACATTGATCGAGATATTGAAAATTATTATCGTCATTATATACAATAATCATTAAGTGTTATATTATTAAAGATTTATTAACCTTTAACATTACATAATTTTTGAATGAATGTAGTTTAATGTTTTACATAGCACATATTTGGATATATTCAATCACTTTGAAACACTCTCGAGTTAAAAAAAAGTCATCAGGCAATTGTCGAGTTTGACTTTAAACTACAAATTAATGGTATAATGTATAATGAATGAATTAAAATACCTCCGAACAATAAAAAACTAAAAAAAAGAATGAACCTAAAAAATAAAAAGTGAAATTTTAAAATACCTTAAATATAGAGAATGGCAAATCAAAATACACAAATTACGTATATACCCTTTTAAACTTATGCCTACTTATATTGCGAAACGCAACATTTGTATCTATGTGAGACCATAACAATTACATTAAATGTCCTTTACGTGGATACGTGATTGCGATGTGACAAAACGCAATAAAGTTTTACTGATCTGATAATAGCTTTATCCATTATCACAGAGGAGATTTGAAATTGTCGCCAATGTGTTAAGAACTTGATACATCACATAAGCTAAGAACAGTTTGATAAATGTTGGCAAAAATATAATCTGATGCGATATTATTGGTAAAATTTCACATTTGTATGTATCTTAAAGACGTAAACCATTCTTATTGGCGAGACGATAATCACAAAATCCATATGCAAACATGATGTTTTTGCCCCGAAAAAAAAAACAAAAAAAAACGGCCCCATTGCAAATATCGGCCCAAAAACGTTTATAAAGCTGATAAATAATGCAATCCCATTATTTGCATATAAATTTCTGTTATGGTAATACCTACAAAAAGTTTGATTTATATATAGAATATTGATATTAAAAACTAGAAAAATAAATGTGGTTTCCTAAATGCGTTAAAGTGCATTTAATCGAAGGAAATAATCGATATGTGTACATGACATATTCATCAATAAAAGCCTTTCATATAGAAAACGAACATATCAATGTCATTGAATTGAATTACAATTATGACACAAAATAATAGTTTATACATAATGGTCATTTGGAAATCTGTGTATGCTTATATTATGGTATTAAGGTTTTTTAGTTTTTTATTAGCGTTCGTTTGATAAGATACAAAAGACTTAAAGAACCCAGCTACTGCATACATTCTTTGAATTTTGTGTACACTTATTTCACTTGTAAACCTTACAGCTTCTAAAGGTTTATCCTTTGGTCAGTCAATAAGCACTACATGTAAATAACAATAAAAAATGCCGATACAGTTATTTTTGAACAATACGATACGAATAATAATAATAATAATAATGATAATAATGATAATAATAATGATAATAATAATAATAATAATAATAATATTAATAATAATACTGGGGAAGTCAAAGTCCTGGCCCGCACAGCGGACCCGGACTTTGGCTTGCCCGGCTATAGACTAAACGTGTATATTTAAAAGAAAATCAAATAAAATCAATTAAAAAAATATAAAGAATTCTATACCTATAAATGAAATTTTCATTGTCGCCTTTTACAATGTAACTCAATGATAAAAGGAGGTGTATTCCGATAACGGAACAAATCTCAACTTTTCGGATTAATGATAATCGTCGAGTGTTCTGAGTGAAAACGGAAACGGTGCATGAAATACCGAATGACACCTTTAAAACGAAAAAATTGAAGGAATTTTTAACGACTTCCCCGTTCAAAGGCTTAGCCTTATTTTATATTAAAAATAACTTTACTTTACGGTAACGCGAGTACCTTCTAGATAGTGATGGTATTAAAAACTTTCGCTGGAAGTACTGCAAAATTATGGAATTTTGACCATCGCAACTTTTCGAATTACAAAATAACGACAAAAGCCGAGGAAATCTGACTGAAAACGAATGCGTAGACTGGTCTACAAGTGTTTATTAACAAATTACAAAATATTTAAATAAGACATATAAAGCTCGGTAAACGCAACAAAGTTACATTTGACGAATATGCTCACTACGCAAGATTATCGTTGTTTCTTTAATTTACAGCAATGACATGTACTCAAATATATTTTAAGAAACATTAAAAGCCTGCCAATCGATTACCATATCAAGTGACTAAGATTTTCTTAATGGTTCGCGTTTCAGTCTTTTGAAAACCTTTAAACAACATTGATTAAGAAATTGATTCGTCAGAGTTCAAATCAACATTCAAGTATTAATGTGTTTAAGAGATTCCAATCAGTTTATTTGAGAAGGTAAACACTTGCAACATGCTGCGTGCTTTATTTATACAGATCTTTGTTTACTGAACGCTTTAAAAGATTGATTAAATTGTCCAGTGATAAACAGACGACCGGAATAAAAGTATTATATTCCGATGAATAATAGATATTGTATCACACTGCATTTTAAGTTTGACGAGTACAAAGACCATTTTTCAATTGTATTTTTTCAGGTCAATAAATCTTTCTCTTTTGCAGAAAAAAAAACTTGTATAAAAATCTTTTGTTGCGAACTCTATCAACAGAAAAGACTATCATTATAAAAGAGGTCCTATCTATTAATCTTGAGAAGACATTATGCTTTTGCTGTTTTAATTGATCAAAATGTTCCTAGTTAATTGATATAAATGCACATTTTATCAACTAAATGTCAACATTGAATTTGTTTTACGATGTTGAGTTAAATTAATAGATATAACAGTAAACAATCATATAAGAAAATGCTTTTAAGCGTTTATTCCAGTGCTGACCAAATTTCTTTTAATAAGCATCATTGAAATTTGTTGCTTAAATATATTATACGTAAAAACATGCTTGTTTTATATCTATTGTAACAAAATATATTACAAAATATACAAAGAAACAAACGATTTTAGCTTCCCACACTGATTTCTCCTTATTTTTATCACAATTTACTAAACGTTATATATCTTAAGGATCATTTACATAAATTGTTCATATTTTACGCCAAGTTGCACAAAAAAAGCATAAGAGAACATTTGGTATATAAACAAGACACTTTTCAGTTCTTATACGGAATAACTCGATTACATCAAATGTCCATGATTGTCATTTTAGATAGTTGTATATCTATCTATTCACTAGGAAATACCGTATCTTATATTGATCCTGAGATAAGATAGGAAGTATGTGAGACCAGCATATTAACGCTACAAGTCCTTCGGGGCGTTGTTCTTGCTGATGACAAAACATAATGGAAATTAGAAATTTAACGTATTTCCTGCGTTCTTTTTTGATGAGATTAGTGGAAATTTTACAATGATTAATTCACTATTTTTCGCTCCCTATTCGTCATTTTTATCGTGGGCCGAGCGTGATTTGTTTTTCTCATGCAATGATTTTCTCATTGGAAAGTGATTGATGTAGCATAGTTTATAACATATGATATTTACACGCTTGTGTATTTGAACACGTGTTCCAATATAAAAAATATTCGTACTTTACAATACTTACGAAGGCGGTATAAAATACTCGCTTACTTCGAATGTACATATCAATTAAAATAATTAGGGATGTGTTTAAAAAAATACTACAGATGTTACTCAGATACTTCAACCGCACCATTTCTTAATTTTCTTGAAGCTGTAGTCATTGAAAGTGAACGATAGCTATAATAACTGCCGTCATGGAACATTCTTTGGCAAACCAAGCGTGCAACAATTGTCTGTTTCGGAGAATATCAAAGGTTTCCACCTGTTACTCTGAAATATGGATGAAGCATTTTCAATATTTTAATATTTGACCCACTCAAATTTATTTTACCTTTTAATAATTATGTCTGTTTCTTTTGGATCACTTCGACATTTATTCTTAACTTTTTTCAAGAAACTTATGTGATAACTTGGGGATTCAAGTTCTAAGTCTCAGCGAACTAATTGTATTTGCCATATAAAATTACACATTATAATTAAACTAACCATTATAGGCAATCACGTAGTAATTCTAATGTATAGATAAATAAATAAATAAATAAATAGATAAATAGAGCTAATAAATATTTAGTATAAACACAGCTATTGTAGTGGAAATAACAATCATAATTCTTATATATAAGAACAACTTTAAAATCCTAATTGATCGTACTAATTAAACAGTTACGTTTAATATTTGACTCAATTTAATGAACAGCCTAAAGTAAATATATCAACTCTCAATTATTTACCGTATTATTGACTATGTGAAGCCTCTCAGCGTCGTCTAACGGACAAAATAGACGTATTCCCTTGAGTCCGTGCACAACCAATGACAAATGATTATTTCTTCTTACTATGATATGATACAGCAGACGAAACACGCGATATATTCACGACAAATCATCCCTCTTCATTACCAATTGAACAACTCTGAAAAACTGGCGTGTTACAATAATTTGAAATTCTTTTTTTTGTTTCGTTCTCATGCCTCTGTGAATTGAACACTGGATTTTTTTATTGAATGCTACATTATTGGTTTAGATTATCGAGTGCTCCGGCAACTGCTGTAAATAATTGAACAGAAAGACATGTTTAATGTTTTATTGAAACTACTTTGATTTCATAGAAATAATCAGATCAAAGGGAATAAAGAATGATGAAAATATTACTTTGAAAATTATATTAAAAAGTAGAATAAGAAGACATAGTGTTCGAAAATGTCGAAATTGGAAATTATCAGTACTTATGGAATTAAAATACATTTGTTATTTAGTATGCTACAACTGTACAAATTTGTCGTCTGCGGGGAATTGATAAAATGTAAGTTGGCAATATTTATGTGTTTCTTAAACGTACAAAGTTTACGATGTAAAGAGTAAAGTATAACGATGTGTTTGTTGAGTCAACAAGTTTAACTTCAAGTCACGTGTTGTACTTTTGGGAATACAACTTTTTTAAAACATATAGGCATTTGGATTATTTAACTTTACAATGTGTTTTTCAAATAAAAAAGAATAAATATGTAGTTATCTAAGTTAAATCCGAATTGGATTAATTAACAGGAATATAGGATAAAGTGCTTGCTTTTTATGGTATTAAGTAGTTTAGTTTTGACATATTTTATTGTATTAAATACATGTTAATTATTATAGACAAACGATAAGTATATAACAAAAAGGCAAATGGACTGGGCAACAAGTTCTAGCAACATTAGATAAAGCCCTTTCCAGGATTTAGTACAATGTTATACTTATTAAGGCCATTACTATTGTATTTTAATTCACATTTCCCTGTGTTAATAGAAATGATTTAAGTTTCTTCTCATGATAAAAGAATTATAATGATTTGTTTAGAATAATATTCGTAAGATAGATTATTGACATTTTGAATTTCTGAAAGTTTTACCTTTCTCATTTTTGGCAAATGATATATTACAAGGAAAAAATATGGAGTAAACGTGTTTGAAAGTTCTAATTTATTCCATATAATGATAATTAATATCAAAGGAATGAAGTAAAAATATCGCATTTCACTAACACACAAATGTATCAATATTATCTTCATTACGTTAAAGTAGTTAATTATTCATTGAATGTTAAATAAGTGTATTATTCATTGAATTTTAAATAAGTGTATTATTCATCCAATCAATATAATGCAATTAGACAATTTAATTAGTGTTTGATGGCTCAAAGAATTGAAATTTGACAATCATGTAAATGTTTTGATCATGCAATTAATTAATTCGAATGCTGGAAGATATCTTATAATATGATTCATGAAGAAAGTTAATTAACGTTTTATTAACACAGTAGAAAGTTTCAAAAAACATCTTAAAACACACTACTTCAATTTAGCTTATGGAAAATAATCAGTGACTGTTATGAATGAATTTTATAAACAGTGAATACGAAGTATCTGTTATTTGAATATTAGTTTTATTAAAAAGTTTTTTTTTTTTTTTTTTAAACAAACAATCTTTAAATCAATTTAGTATTTCTATTGTTTTATAACGATGATTTAGCAAGATCTTATCTATTATTATAATTCATTGCTAGCATTTTTAAGCACAGAATATTTATATTGTATTAATATGTAAAATAATTCCATAATTTATACTTTTAATTAGTTAATGCAAATATTTTTAATGTTCATAATCCTGTTCATTTACATTGTTTTAGACATATAGATGATTGATGTAAAGCGCCTTTGAACATTTTAATGAAAAGGGCGCTATATAAATATGGTATTTATTATTATATTTTTATACAAATATATAATAACAGATAATAATATAAATTCAATTAAAATGTTAATTACAATATGAAAACAGTATAAAGCCATGAAAATAGAATTTTTGAAAAAAAGGGTTTTTTGTTTAAAATTAATTAATTTATGAAGGCACGCGTCATTGATTTAAAATGTTTTTGGGCAGTAGATCGCATTATGTTAACCGTTTCCTACATAATCATTAAAGAAAACAGAGGTACAGTAATAAAGGTATGTCAAGTTACTTTACATAACAAGAGAAGATATAAATGTCTATGAATAATGCAAAAAATATTTCGATTATATATCTGTTGAATTTTGAAATAAATAATCATTGAATTCAGATTAAAATGAATAAATTTACCTACACAATACATCACTAACAAACAAAAAGTGCCATCTTATGAAGAAAATATCAATATATGAAGTTCATTATGTCATCATCTGACATCTAAAGTTAAATGTAAAGACGTGTAAAATATAATATTCTAATATTTGAATAAAGAATAAAAATAGATAAAGTTTCAAATATTATAAGATATTTATTGAGAATATAAACAAAACATTGACATTACCTAATCATCGGATAAGTTTCATTTTAATAAAACACCTGACGCTTCTTAAGTAGAGAAAGTGAAAACCGAATAATTGTCGAACGCCTTAAAATACATGAATATTAAAATGTAATAATGGAATAGTATCACCTTTATAAATTTCTTAACACAGTCTTTGTTTAAATCAGACACATATTTAATAATATCCAGTATTTTATTAAAACGTTTTATGAAGAGAACTATTTTAACAGCATTTATTAAAAAGGCAATGCTCTGTCTTTAAGATAGTAGGAAACATAATAATCTCATAAATAATTATCGTAAACAAGTTTATACTTTATAAGCAGTATAGAAACAATTTTGGCTCTGAAAGTTAAACACCGTATAAGCCCATATTAGAGGTGGTTATGTCTTGATCTATAATACATTTACATATTTGTACAGATTGAAATATATATTGTTTCACAGAGATATCTGTAATTTAGAATTATATCCGGGAATTTTTTTTACTATACTACCTATATAATTTTTCGAAAATGCAACAAAATTAATTAAAAAGTGATACATTAACAATGCATCTTCTGGTTATTTGAAAGGAAAATAATCTGGAAAAAACGGCACCCAAGGGAGCAATGAAACTGATTATTTATACCACATATTCATTCTTCATTTTTATTAGACAACGGATTAACAAATCTAACGTATGCATTATCATTAATAAGCACGAAGAGAAATGTTCGTTTTTCTAAACTCAGCGCACGCTGCTCAAAGAGGCGAATGGCAAAATGTTATATGCAACAAAAAGAGAAAAAAAACATGAAATGTACCATCTTGAAATTGGCAGTATAAGATGCAATAGCTTACTTAAGTCATTGTCTATTCATTCATTCATTCATTCATTCATTCATTCATTCATGCATTTATTTATTTATTTATTTATTTATTTATTTATTTATTTATTTATTTAGTTATTTATTTATCATGTCTTTTCTTTTTCGTTAACAGTTAACGGTTGCAACAATGTTATTGACATGGAAGATCTGGAAATTTACCAAGGAGAGCTATCTCTTGCCATCAACAGTTTTGAGAGTAGTGGCGGACGTGTGTCATGTGACTTCACTGTGAAGGCGGGAACAGGGAGACAAGTGATGTTCTATTTTACTGACTTATACCTTGGAGCTCCTAACAGCACCGATCGTGTTGATAAATCATGCATAGAACCGAAAGATGTGACAGGTCCATATGAGATAGTACCTACAGGTGAAAAGTAAACCTTTATTCTCAAAGTCGAGTCATGATTAATTTGCGACCACTTTTAGCAGTGTAGCTAGACATTTCTTTCTTCTGTAAATTCTTAGTTTAATTCAACGTCTTTTATTTCGGCATCAGTAGAAGTGCTGAAAGCCTTAAGGTATCTAACGAGAAATAAGCAATTATTTAACCACAAAAGGTTTGAATAATCAATATCAAATCAATCACGCTCTTGTATCATTAAATAATCATTCCATGCCCGTAAATGTCTGACGTTAATTATCACTGGATATAAAATTCCGTCTGGAAGCACCATTTCATTGCCTTAAAATTGCATTTTCCCGTTTGGCAGGGAACTGGTCATGTAAAGGCTTTCATGTGCTGGTTTTCAAATTGAAGAAATGCAAGTAAATTATATAAAAATGCACTTAATTTGATGTTTGCGATGGATATTATTTTGTTGAGCTGAAACATTCGTCGCTCGTTATAAAATACGTATCTTATGATATCATTTTGTGCTGAAACTTTTGGGTATCTTTAGGTTCATATTCTTATTAAAAACCGAACACTCATTACACGGAGTTAGGAAGATTTCATGTCTTGTATTATAAATGTAAAGTATGAAACTGATTCAATCGCATTTATTTTAAAGATTTTATCTTTTTTGTATATCAACCTGTTCCTTTAAAATATATTTTACTTACATACAATGATCAGCAAATTCGAACCAAGAGCAATTTAAGTCAATACTAAATGCTATATATGTATATACCGAGCCAGACTATTTATGAATTGATTTATAATAAGTGGCAAAACTGGCTTTGACAGATTACGGTTACTTCACGTGGCTTTAGATTTCAAACAAATGAATTGATTACTAGTATGGAAATTGTACATGTGTGTTTATTCAGGAAGTGACAGTGTTTCTGATTTATTTACATAACCCATTACATTTCCCATCACTATAATACTGATTATTTGTGCAAGGAAGTAGCATGCTTTTTACACATAGAATAATTATAAGTTTAAAACATATTCGAAACTTTGAAACACATGGTTAAACACGCAAACAATCTGGAAATGCTACCTTTCAGATATGTAAACATGGAATCACAAGTAAAACTAAAAAATAAAGAAATATATTAACGACTCTCCGAATAATAATTTATTATTTTTATGAAAAAGGTTATTATGACTATACCTCATCTGCCATTATTATAAATTACCATTTCATTGATAATCATTAAAATATATTTCACAGGTATGAGAGCAATCATATGCTCAAGAACACAAGTTGCAATAGGGGATCGAGTATACACAACTTCTGGCAGTGGTCTATCCATCCGTTTCTATAGAAATAGAGGATATAGCATAACAGTTTACTTCAAATTAGTTTTTACCGCCTTTAGGTCTGGTAAGAAATCCGTTTTCATTATATTAATAAATGTTGTTTAAATTTTAATATTTATGCTATGTTATGAATTTTGAAGTGTTTTCATTCATGTTTTTACACTTGGCCTGGCATGTAGGACAAATATCTATTAATTATTGAAATAGCTTATAAAAAATTAAAAATATTTACGTGTATAAAACTAAGTTAAGCTTTATGATTCTAGAATCTTTTAATTACTATAAAAAAGCTAAAAATAACACTTTATCTAACAGGTTCTTGCCGAACTACTGAAAGAAGATGTAGTAATGAAAGGTGTATATCACATGAAATAGTATGCAATGGTTATAACCCATGTGGCGATCATTCTGTCCAACGGGGCTCGAACATTTATCAAGTTGGGCAATGAGTGGCATAGTCGTCCTTGCCTTGCTCTCTGGAGGGATTATAATTATAATGGCCGCTGTTTGTCTACAAAGAGCTACAAGCAAGCGATATGACTTTGTAAGTATTTTTTGATACAACTGAATTCATGTACATTCGATTTTAAACAGCTACAAGACTTAAAGTAATGAAGCATATTCTTCATTCTTTTGATAACGTGTTTATCTAACGTGTTTGATATTATATATCAGATATCTCAAAATCAGATATTTTGAAGCCGCGAATAACACTAATAAATTGCCTTATATTGCTATTTTTCAGACCGATAGGTTAATAATTCGTATTACTATATCAAAAAAGAGCCTTATTGTTATATGATGGATTATTTCAATCATTAATCCCAGAATTTCTGTTTGTCGACATATTCAGGGTAGTCATTTAACAAATTGGTTTGCTTGAAATCTAAATTCACAATCAATACAACCGTTCACTTAGGGAGACCGATTAATGTCAAAGAAAAAATCGATTTGAAACGTCCTACAGGTGAATTAATTATTCAAATCGTTGTTCAAAGGCTGTCAAGTGTTGAATTATATGAGGATGTCACGGAAATTGGTGCGTCGTTAATTATATTGAAAAATAACTCTCCGAAATTTATCTTTAAATACTTCTCTTAATTTGCAAAGAATGTGTTTAAGTGATAATAACAATATTGTTGGTAAACATTGTGTAAAGATTTCAACACACTGTTATATAAAAATTAAATGTACAGAATAATACATTACTTTTGCGTAATATGCATATCAATGCAACTAATATGTCACAAAATAGAATATTGATCAATTAGCGAAGAATATTGCTTAACCGATTTACATAATTATAAGTTATACATAAAAATTTATTTACAATATAATTAATGGAATACTGGAAAATCATTTTCTTATTGAATCGATTCATATAGGTAATTTACTTTGCTTTGAAATGTAATATTATTATTGCAAGTAATGGGAAGTTCAATTCTGAAGTTTTACTAATATACTTTGGGACTGCATGTAAGCGCTGTCTTAGGATTAAATCGAAGCCCTTGTTGATCATGTTTTCTATACTTTAGACTTTTCCTGTAACGTCTACAAATAAAGAAATATTGAATGGTTGCTTTAAATTTACTCATGCAACTTAAACTGGCATTTAGTTAAGAACTTAATGAATAATTTTAAATAGTAGCTTTCTATACGTTGTTTTACTTTACAGGATGATATAACCGTGCCAGCCAATGGCTCCTTATGCCACGAACATCATAACGTTGAAATGAACGAAGTATCTAAAGACGCTGTACATAATGTATTACTTGATAAGATCGAACAATCACATGATAATCAATACAAAAAGTGTGACGGGAAAGATAGAAGACTAATGTTAAATGAATATCAACATTCTTTACTAGAACCACCATCAGAAAATGATAGGGAACAGCTCATTCAATCAAAACGCTCAAGCTCGGAGAATTACTCGGATGATTATGGACCAAATACACAAAACACAGACTTAAGTCCCTATCCTGGATATGAAAGCGGCAGTTCGCTAAAAAATATAAGTGTGAGCGATCAGTACGGGAACGCAGAATTCTTATCTTTTAAAGCAAATGGCCTTCTTGTTCCGGAAAATGTATCCAATTCATCACCGCGACGACATTTAGAGGATGGCTTTCATTTGTCTGGAAATTCTTTGGTGTATTCAGATAGTGACAGTGGAGGGGAAGATGAAAGGTTTAAAGTCACTAGTTTAGATAGGAAACGACAACCGCCTTCATTTCTTAAATCGTCCAATTCTCATAATGGTGCAATTGGTGGAGATACTACTATGTTTGGAGACTTCCAACCTACACCCCCTCCTTACACTAGTACAATGAAAAGCATGAAAGTAATGGTAGATAAAGGACCTTGTAACCAGGCTAACTTTGTCTAAATCTGATAATGTCATAGCGGTTTGCCCTGATTTTCATGTGAAATTCATTTTTGCCACTAAGAGAATTGACGAATGCTGTCAAGTTATCACATTGCATTGAATTATCACAGTATAATAAAGTAAAACGCCTTTAGCTGATCTGACGTCAGTTTAGTCATATCAGACCTCAATGCAGTTTTAAGATAAGGGTACGCCTTTTTCAAGGGGAAACATAGAACGTGTCAATGCTACAATTAAGCTAAAGAGTACATTTATAAATTGCTTTGTTATTAAATGATGTGCGATAAAGAAAAATGCATAGTGTTTATTTACAAATGTTTAAACAATATTAAATTGAAAACACTTATGCCGGAAAACGTGTTTTTGTATCAATGACGTTTTGATAAAAAATGTGTGCTTATATTATTACGATTCTGAAATAAATACACTGCAAAATGACTACAAATGAAATAAATTGAGAGTTTTATTGTTAATGAACAGCAAAGATAATTCAATTACAATTATGTTTTGTTTGTTCTCAAGAAAAGTAGTTTTAAGTCTATAAAACGCTTTATATAACGATTTTATTTAAATGTGATATAATTCTTATTTTGTTCGAAGAAACAGTTTGTTATAATTAATGTACTACTAATTTATAAATATATGACAATGATAACAACATATAAAAAAACAGCTTTTTATGTCATTCATTTTTCAGTTACATGTTTAATTTCACAAACATGGCGCATTAGTGACCGGAATTGAATTGACATGAAAGATATAAATCGGCGACTTCAAAGTATTCAAAGTTTCTAACAGTCCTGATAATGTTCATTTTCAGGATATAACCTTCTCTTACTAACTAACACATCCGACGAGCACTTGTTCTACCTATAGCACTCACGATAGGGCCTTGCAGTATCCAAAGAGAGAGGGAGAGAGGTAGGCAGGGAGATAATGAAAAGAAATATCTATATCTGACGTGTGTAATACTTAAGTATTTTTGATGATTAGGTGAATATCCAGATTCTTCATTATTGTTTGATGATTATGTGAATGTCCAAGACTTCGATATCTACCTAATCAGCAAACAAATACTATAACATTCTTCATTTGGTTAATTATTTTAAAGTTGTTCTATTTCCTTGTTCATGTTTATAATGCCTTATTAAGCGGAAAGAAATGGCAGTTATTTTCCTGTGTAGACATGTGCACATCTTTCTAAAGTGTGGACAGTCTGATGTTTGTTTAACGTAACGTTGTTATTGATAAGTCGGCTTAAACTCTGTATCATGTAAAGGAAAATCAAAATAAAATATTTATAATTCGTTTTCTAGTAACATTGCATCTCATTTTTTAAACAATTAATTTAAGTGATTTAACGACACCATTAATATTATAGTTGATTGTTTAAATCATTAAAATACATTATGTAAATACGTTAAATAAAAAAAAACTAATTGCAATCTTAAAATAACGCTTCCGTTGATATATTTTAATTTTACAATTTCTTATAAATCGAATATCTAAAATAGTACTACAAGAAACTGTGAAATTAGGAAAGAGATTACAAAACCGCAGTATTAAATGAGTGGCATTCACAAAAATCAATTTGTTATTTAAAAAAATATTTAAATTATGTTATAAATTCTTATATGTTTCGGAAATAAACATTCTTGTTTAAAATTTCGGATATTTGAAATCTGTGGTTCCTCCCGTTTCACATTAAACATCTTTTGACATTGCTTATAAAATTTCATTTAATCTCCAGTGAATAGCTTATTTAACATTAGAATTTACTGCGTTATTAATGACATTTTATTCTATAATGTTTGTCAATAAATAACCACCTATAAGTCTTTCTGGAACCCGGAAACTCATGTGCTTGAAACTATCGAAAAGACATCAAACAATAAAAGGAACAACCCCGAACTTTTCGGTACACTTAGTGCTCATTGATAAATGATTTATTCAACTTATATAATTCTCATGATTTCAATAAATCTTTGAATAAGTCATTGTAAGGCACAGATACCGAAACACGACAGATATCGAACAGCATGGATCCTCATCAGACTGCGCGGATACAAATAGTGTGTTTGGTATACTACTTTGTTAACAATTTTTAATATCCATCTTTTCCTCAAATAAATCACTTTAAATTAACAGCAAAACACTATCTTCATATCAAACTAGGTGTATACAACAAAAAAGTTACCGCTAAGATGCATTCAAGAATATACATATTTATAAACTGATTTGTCACAATCTCGTAGATTCAGAATCTACTGATATTCAAATTATGTAAACGTCTTCAGCTTGTGATACAATTTTAATAACCCTGGAACCCTGTTAAACTGTTTGCGTTAAATATAGATACGGGTTTAATACGTTTGTTGAAAATGCAATTGTCCTTTTTCGAAGTATGTTATAATACTGCCTTAATATGCACATGATTACATGCGTTGTAAAGACAAATGTAAAAAGAAATATGCACTTATAAAAAGTACTGCATAGCAGGTAAAACATTCTTCCATAAAGGTATGTTTGTATAAATATGTTTTATAATTCATTTTCCAAGGATACACGTAACAAGAGGGCCATGATGGCCCTGGATCGCTCCCCTGACCCATCAATTGCATCAAAGCAATGTCTTAGACAAGCATCCTGGCCAAGTTTGATGACAACTGAGTCAAACATGTGACCTCTAGTGTGTTAAAAAGGTTTTTCCATATTTGGGCAATGTGACCTAATTTTTGACCGGAGACGACCCATATTCAAACTTGACCTAGAAATCATCAAAACAACCTTCCTGACCAATTTCCAGGTAATTTGGATCAAAACTGCAGCCACAAGAGTGTTAAAAAGATTTTTCTATTTTTAGCTCCTGTGATCTTGTTTTTGACCGGAGATGACCAATCTTCGAACTTGACCTAGAAATCATCAAAACAACCTTCCTGACAAATTTCCAGAATATATGAATCAAAACTGCAGCCGCTAGAGTGTTAACAAGCTTTTTCTATTTTTAGCTCCTGAGACCTAGTTTTTGACCCGAGATAACCCATCTACGAACTTGACATAGAAATTATCAAAACAACCTTCCTGACTAATTTCCAGAGTATTTGGATGAAAACTGCAGCCACTAGAGTCTTAACAAGCTTTTTCTATTTTTAGCTCCAGTGACCTAGTTTTTGACCGGACATGGCCCATCTTCGAACTTGACCTAGAAATAAACAACCTTCCTGACAAATTTCCAGAATATTTGGATGAAAACTGCAGCCACTAGAGTGTTAACAAGCTTTTTCTATTTTTAGCTCCTGTGACCTAGTTTTTGACCGGAGATGACCCATCTTCGAACTTGACCTAGAAATAAACAACCTTCCTGACAAATTTCCAGAATATTTGGATGAGAACTGCAGCCACTAGAGTGTTAACAAGCTTTTTCTATTTTTAACTCCTGTGACCTAGTTTTTGACCGGAGATGACCCATCTTCTAACTTGACCTAGAAATCATCGAAACAACCTTCCTGACAAATTTCCAGAATATTTGGATGAGAACTGCAGCCACTAGAGTGTTAACAAGCTTTTTCTATTTTTAGCTCCTGTGACCTAGTTTTTAACCGGACATGACCCATCTTTGAACTTTACTTAGATTTCAGCAAAACAATCTTCCTGACAAATTTCCAGAATATTTGGATGAAAACTGCAGCCACTAGAGTGTTAACAAGCTTTTTCTATTTTTAGCTCCTGAAACCTAGTTTTTGACCGGAGATTACCCATCTTCGAATGTGACCTAGAAATCATCAAAACAACCTTTCTGACAAATTTTCAGAATATTTGGATCAAAACTGCAGCCACTAGAGTGTTAACAAGCTTTTTCTATTTTTAGCTCCTGTGACCTAGTTTTTCATCGGAGGTCACCCATGATCGAACTCATCCGAGATATTATTGAGACAGATATTCTGACAAAGTTTCATGATGATTGAGGAATAAATGCGACTGCTAGAGTGTTAACGAACAAAATGTGGACGGACGACGGACAACGGACAATCATCGATCCTAAAAGCTCACTCTGAGCATGCTCAGGTGAGCTAAAAAAGTAATTCAGTAACTGAGAATGTTCACAAGGTATGACTGTCATTATTATAAAGACGCTGACCTTTTCTTCATGATACAACACTCTGAAATAACATAAGCATATACAAACAGGTTTACCTCTTTTAAGGGAGACATCTTGTTTCTTGCTCCATTATTTTGATAATTCAGTGTATAACGTTTAAGCATTTTATATTTGTTCATCTATTAAAATTTATTTTTAAGATATTTTATTTATATTTGTATTAAAAGTGACACTTAGTAAGTTACAGTGAATAAGTCTGCAGTGGGGTTACTATCTCACTCGATATTTTACTATTTCGTGGTTTATTATACTAAATACTATCAACTTAGTTATGCATATTATTACATACCTTCCAATATGGACCTATTCACTTGGACTTACCGTGTTGTAAACCATTAAAAAAAACACAATTTAACTTTAATACATCTATAAAATGATAACTGAATGTCCGAATATTTAAATGTTTACAGAAAACTATATTCTTACATAATTGTATAGTAACTAAAATTGTATCTTTTAAAGCAAAAACAAAGAATGGCCTAACAAAGTTAAATATTAGATTTGAAAGTTAGATTTACAATATCAAATGTTTGAGGAATATACAAAATAGCTTACTCTTATATTTGCCAAATAACTGTCAAGTTAAGCTCCAAAAAAGAAAAACTTGTAATGTGTGTGATGTTGTTTCATTTTATCAGTTAAGTGATATTTTGTCATTTTATCAGTTAATAATTCAGTTAAATCGAATAAAAGATGTCTTCTTATGTCCAAAAATTCTATGTTACTCGTCTTTATTTCAGATTAAGAGGGTGTGGACGTTAGCTTGCACTTTCCAGTACCGCCTGTGAACGGGCTAAATTAATCCGAGCCTGCAACATTTTCAATTTTTTGGATGTTCTTTAAGGATCCCTATTTTTTTTTAAGTAGAAGAGGTGAAATCCTTAAGGTATCTAACGAAAAATAAGTAATTATTTAACAACTAAAGGTTTGAATAATCAATATCAAATCAATCACGCTCTTGTATCATTAAATAATCATTTCATGCCAGTAAATGTCTGACGTTAATTATCAGTGGATATTAAAATCCGTTTGGAAAAACCATTTCATTGCCTTAAAATTGCATTATCACGTTTGGCATAGAAATGATCATATAAATATGTTGGGAAAGGATAAACCCTCACAAGCATTAGACACATCAAAATTACATACAAATTGCAGTCTTTTATGCACTTTTATTCACATTGAAGAAATACAATTTAAATATATTAACATTCATTCAGTTTATGTTTGTGTTGGATGTTATCTTGTTTAGGGGAAACATTCTTTGCTCCTTATAAAATACGTATTTCATGATATCATTTTGTAATGAAATAAGATGGTGTCAGTAACTTTCTTTTGAGTTATATAATGAATATATCGTCATTAAACCCCGAACACTTATCACCCGGGGCTTGGACATATTCGAAGGGTTCTGAGTGATGATTTGTATTTTCACACAGA